TGGTGTGCATGTCTGCTGAGTGCAGGGATTGCAGGTGTGCACCACCATGCCTGGCTGGTGCATGTGTCTGCTGAGTGCAGGGATTGCAGGTGCGCACTGCACGCCTGGCTGGCCTTCCTGCCGTGGCGTGCAGACTCTTCTTGCTCACCTTTGCAATGCTTTCCTTGTTCTCCAAAGCTTTGTCTGGCTCTTGAGGCCCAAGCTGTTTCTCGTAGGAGTCTGAGCCTTCTCTTCCTACTCGCTGCGTTCCCGGACTGTGTGGGTCTGGGATTGGTTTCCCTTCTTTGCTAAAGCAGTTCAATTTTCTTTCCAAGGCTGAACCTGGTAGGCATGCTGGAAACTAGAACATGCTAGAAAGTGCAATGGTCCTTTTCTCCCTGTAGACATAACACATTTCGTTGTATCATGCAGTGGTGTGTTAAAACTGTGTGGTGTATCGTCTCTGTCTTCCGTGGGATGGTTGGTACAGCTCAGTGCTGAGCATCTGCCCAGCTTGTGCCTGGTTCTGTCTCTGCCATGGAAAAAGAGGTACAGTGAGATGGCACACAAACATACACACACACACACTCACATACACTCACATACATACCCTTACACACTCACACACACATAAACACGCATACTCACACTCATACACATATACTCACATACATATACATACATACTTATTCATACACAAAATAAATGTAGAATTTTAAATCAAAAATTAAAATATCATGAGAAATTTTCTTTTTTTTTTTTCAGACTGTATTTCTCAACACAAACTCGTGGAGAGACCGATCGAGAGAAGCTGCTGCTGCTGTATCAGACAAATGATCAGATTATAAATGGCCTTTTTCCTCTGAACAAGGATCTGGCACTAGAAATGGCAGCGCTTTTAGCTCAGGTAACTTCCATGTTGTCTAAATTAGCTCGAGGAGAGGGAACGGTGCTGATTTCCTCAGTTAAATGCAATAAAACAGGGCACCTTCAGCAAGCCGGAGGATTCACTTTGCTGTAATTAAGAAGCCATTAGAAACTGCAGGCATTGGTACTACATTGGTACTACAGGTTCTATCTGACCCTGACAGTGCACTGGCATAGAGTAAGACTCGACATTCCGTAAAGGGAAACACATTTCCTAGTTCTTTTGAAAATGTTGTCTGAGGCTCTGCACTATTCCGTGGTGGCACCAAAGACACTGTCAATAGAACAGGGTTAGGGGGCACTTGGATAAAGCCAAAGCAGTTTCTTTTGTATACCTATCATATCAATTAGGAGCAAGTTTGGACTTCTTTAACATGTACACACAAATTAATAATAGTAAATTAACCAGACAGAAGTGTAGTGAATATATACCTGTATCTCAGCACTTGGGAGACTGATGTAGGAAAGTCGTGTGTTGAAGGCCAGCAGGGCTACTTTATCAAGAACCTATCTCAAAAGGAAAAGGGAAAAAATTTTGATTCTCACAAGGTAAATATCACATGCTGATATCTCTGCAGTGCCATCAGGACTTTGTCCTTGTACCCATTCTGCCACCCATGGTGTCATCCTCACTGTCCTGGGGTCTGCTAGAGTCCCAGCGTGTTCCTGGAATCAGGAAGGCAGGCCAAGCAGGGAGGCAGGCTGAGCAGGGAGACAGGCTGAGCAGGGAGGCAGGCTGAGCAGGGCGTTGGGAAGGTCTCATAACTTACACAGCCCTCTCCATTTAAGCCCGGATTATAATGGAGACCCATGGTCCTGCCTGCCTATGCAGGAGGCCAGGAAGTCATCCCTGCCAGGCAGCAATGGGCCTAGACCTTTAAGTCTTCATCCTCAAGAAGGGGTTGTAAAATGCATACCCGAGTCTGCCGAGGGGAGCATATAAACTTTCCTGTGACGTGCCCCATGGACAGATGCTTGGGTCCCGAGTTTATAGTGCGTGGACTCTCACCAGGCACATCATCCAATACTTCATTCATTCTTTTTTTTTTTCAGAGCTGAGGACCGAACCCAGGGCCTTGCACTTGCTAGGCAAGCGCTCTACCACTGAGCTCAATCCCCAGCCCCACATCAATCATTCTTTAGCTCATCCACGACCCAGGGTGATGACTCCCACATCTCTGCACTCCAGTTCATACCGGTCTAATGGGCCCTGCAGACTGCCCGTCACTTCCCCTTCGCTACATTCCACACCTTCATCATCTCCCCCCAGTCCTCTGGGGGAGCTTCCACTCCAGTGTCCCCACTGCCTTTTCCTGTTCTCCCTCCCTTACCTCGTCTTTTCACTTTGAGCTCCTACGTCTTCCTCTGCTCACCCCTCTCTCTTCGACCTCCATTGCTGCGGTTCAGACCCGCCTCAAGTCCTTTGCTCCCCAACCACACCGTTCCTCCCTCCAGTGTGGTCCTCCACAAAGTTATCCTTCACACGGATGCTTGAGGGATTTTCCCAGTTATCCACTGATGCCTAACAAGTGATTTGAAGTTGAATGTGGTGATGAATGCCTGTAGCTGATAATCCTAGCTCTTGAGAGGCAAAGGCAAAAAGATCACAAGTTCAGGGCAAGCCTGGACTACATAGCAAGTTTTAGGACAACCTGGAATACATACTGAGACCTTACCGCAAAAACAAACAAAGCAGAAAAGCACACAGCAACAGTAATCAAAAGCTCCAAAAGTAATTCGAGCAGATATGCAAAAGGAATTTAGTCTCTGTTTTCTGTGGCTTCTGCTAGCTTAGCCTAGTGGGACAGCTGTGACACAGGGTGGAGTCACTGGCAGGCTCGTTTATGTCTGCCTGTAATGCTGCTCACAGCTGAGACTTCTGCAAGGGCTGTCCTCTCTACAGTGTTATACACAGTAAATATTACATGTACTCTCCTCGAGGAACTCTTCGAGCTTCCAACCAGGATGGTGATTGAATGGCAAATGCCGTACCCCAAAAGAGACAAGAAGAAAAACCTGTCCTTTTCCTCAGGCCTGAGACCAGAAGCTGGTATGGTGACACTTACCCATGGCGAGTTGTTTACACAGCATTAGTACCTGACAAAGAGAGCAAAGACATTCACACCTCAGGTCATTCATGATCTGCCCTGGCCGCTGCCTCTACAGCCCCAGCATCCATGCTATCCCTACCTGGAGCTTGAGTCTGCGCAGAATCCTGCACTTGTTTATCGCTTCTGCTTCCGTCAGACTTTCCTGATCTTACTGGTTTTTCTCAGATGTCTGGAATGGCTCTGCCTCTGGTCTGTCACTTGCTAATTTCATCTTGGCCTTTAGCTCCCCTTGTAGGTGTGTTTATACCAGGGAACCTTTCTGAATCCCTCCTGGTGGCTCCAGGGGTCCTCTGGGGAGTCTCTGGGGTGTGTCACATATGTGTGTCCTGACAATGGTGGCTCATAATGACTTGTGGTTCTGCTTTGCATCAGTGACTGGGGCCTCCCCAAGGGCCACCACCGTGCCTGCCCCTCCTACTTAGCAGTCTTTCCCATGAGCAGTTTCCCCCACTGTTCTAGGAAGAATGGACACTTAGTAACTGAGTATACGTTTAGAATTTTTTTTCAAATTTTTTTTTAAAGCTTGCTTGCTGTACTCAGTGTTCTTTTGATACAAATGGTAAAGACAAGGGAAGGGACAGGCCCTTACTTTCTAGACAATCAGAGAGATTCCATGCTGCTGGCTGGTCTAGGGGTCACCTTTCCAGAGTCATAAATTCTCCATGAAAATCACTCTTGTCTTACTAACATTTAAGTTACCTTCTTTCCTTAGCTTTTAATTTTGTTTAAAAAAAAACTTCTCTAAGAAAAATTAAGTTCAAATTTTTTGAGATTTTGTTTTTTAATTTCCTGTGTATGAGGTTCTGCCTGAATGTTATGTCTGTGTGCACCACATACATACCATGTCCCAGGAGGCCACAAGAGGGCATCAGACCTTCTGAGGGTGGAGTTACAGATCACCGTAAGCCACCATGTGGGTGCTTGGAATCGAACCCAGGATCTCTGGAAGAGCAGTCAAAGAATGCTTTTAAATTCTGTATATAAGGAAAAATTCCATTTTTTCCTCAGAGCATTGTTTTTGGAAGAAGATGTGTGAATTGAGTACACGTAAGGGTGGTGGCTGGGCAGTCACCTGCAGTCACCTCTGAATTTTTTGGAAGATTAAAACATAATAAAGAGGGTCTGGAGAGATGGCTCCATGGTTAAGAGCACTGACTGCCCTTCCAGAGGTCCTGAGTTCAATTCCCAGCAACCACATGGTGGCTCACAACCATCTGTAATGGGATCTGGTGCCCTCTTCTGGTGTGTCTGAAGAGAGTGACAGTGTACTCATATACATAACATTTAAAAATAAATTAAAACATAACAAACAAGCTAAGCAATGTAGCTAAGTTACTTACTCTTTTGCAGATTTGAATCTGTGGAGGCCTTATTGATGTTGCATGGCTTTTTAAAAAAAATAAAACATTGAGTGAATGAGTGAGTCAGAAGACACTTCACAGGAGCTGTGAAGGACACTTCTCCTACCACGTGGGGCCAGGTGACAGGAAAGGCAAATGCCTCTACCCACTGAGCCATCTTGCCAGCACAATGCTGAAGCTTAGTGATGGACGCGCACTTGGAGTCGACCTCTGTGCTGGCTGGTTTAGGTCAACTTGACACAAGCCATCAGAGAGGAGGAAACCTCAATTGAGAAAATGCCTCCATAAGATCCAGCTGGAAGGCATTTTTTTTTTTAGATTAGTGATCAATGGGGGAGGGCCCATCCCATGGTGGGGGGTGCCGTCCCTGAGCTGTAGTCCTGGGTTCTATAAGAGAGCAGGCTGAGCAAGCCAGTAAGCCACACCCCACCATGGCCTCTTCGTCTGCTCCTGCCTCCAGGATCTTGTCCTGACTTCCTTTGTGGTGAACAGTGATGTGGAAGTGTAAGCTAAACCCTTTCCTCTCCAACTTGCTTTTTGGTCATGGTGTTTCATTGAAGCAACAGCAATCCTAAGACAATCCCTTAGTTGTTGAGTGTCTAGTCAAGCACGTGTTTTGTGTGGGCATGGAGGGGTTATCTGAGCTGACTTGCTGCAAACCCTGATTGTAATGGTATGTCAGACTCTAGATAGGAAGATACTGAACTTGAACAAACCACAAAAGGCTCCCTAAGAGGTAGGTCGTCTTGAATGGTGTACCGATGCTGGCAGCTGTTGTCAGAGGCTATGGGGCTGGTCTGGGTTTTGCAGGTAACTGTGTGAATACTCCCTGCTGATAGGCAGGAACAATGTACGACTTGCCCTTCGGGAAGGATTTTGGTATGGTTGGGTGGACAGCTTTTCTATTCTGTGAGGACATCATGGTTGTGAAGCAGGAAATTGTTAGGAACCAGGAACAGTAAGAAATAAGAGCTGTAGGGTAGAGCTATACTCCACCAACAAGTGTAGACAGAGTTAAAGAACCTCAAAACTTACAGGTATAGGCTGGAAGGGCAAAGCTCGGTGAAGGTTCAGACAGTAACCCATTAGCTTATGAATTAGAACAGAGGGGGCGTAGAGGGAGCTCCTCAGAACCTCTATGCTGGTTGTGTCACAGCCTCAACTGAGGAGGGCAACCTTTACAACAGAACACGAGCACTCAGTGAGACTACTGGGGCCTGATGGACCTCCAGCTGCTTGTTGGGGAGGTACTGTGGGTAGGATGCTTAGTAGGGCATCATCCAAATGATCCCCATCTCATCTTCCTCCTTGAGCACCCTTTGGTACCCTGTATGAGGCAGTAGTTATAGTTTATCAGAGGATTTGACTATGCCTCTGTCCCTCCTACCAGATGGTAAAGTCATTGCAGGAGGAGGGTTTCCCTCTCTCGCAGCTTTCACTGTAGCACCCGACTCTCAGTGGAATCTGAGTATGGTCTTGGGTGCAGGGATTGTAGGTAATTGGAGGAGTTACAGTCAGATAAGTAGGTTTCAGAGATGGCTGTTGTGTGATCTGTAGTGGCTAAACATTCTGTCATCAGGGGAGAGCAGGCTATGAAGAGCTATATTCATAAGATTATTCAGCTAATAGGAAGCCTTGGTGAGTTCAGAAACATTGACAGAGAAAAACTAGAAGGAGTATAGTGAGACTGTGTGTCTTACTGCCATTATATGAATGAGCCCCTTACGAAGCCCAACTGATATTGTTGCAAATTTTCTTAGTCTTTTCCTCCCCTTTTATTTTAACTGTTATTTCACCATATTTTCCAGTGATTAGAGTAGCCCTTTACAACAAAACTGTCCTGTGTTAGACTCAGTGATAGGCTTGCTCTCTCTTAGCAATTACTGCGGAGGTTTTTCGTTTCTTTTCTTTTGCTGCGAAAGAATACTCTGATAAAAGTGACTTAAGGGGAGAAGGCTTCACTGAGTTCACAGGTCACATGACTGTCCACGGTCAAAGAAATACAGATATTCATCCATTGTTCTCTGTCCCTGATTACGGATGTCACTTGACCACTGTGGCTTCCCTATATGGTGGACTGTAAAATGGAACTAACCAAGAGCCAAAATAAACCTTTCTCTCTCAAGTGGCCATCACCAGAGTATCCTCTCAGGACAACACGAAAAGAGACTCAGGACAGGAGTTCCAAAAGGAAACGGGGTGGAAATATTTGTCACGGAATTCCTTGTAGGATAGATTTCAAGGGAAATTTGTTTAAAACAACAACCTGTATGTATGATTATAAATTTTACCGTCACACAATCATGACACATAGACTTGTGTTTTACATACACAAAGGATGTCTCGAAAGAGCAAAAGTAATTTTCTTTCTGAACGCTGTTCTCACTGTCCTGTATTTTCTCTTCCGGGGATTTCCTCTCAGGTGGATCTTGGGGATTTTGAAAGACCGTTCTCAACTCCAGCTGGGCTTGTGACTAACCAGTGCAAAGCAAATCAAACCCTCAAACAAGTCATAGAGAAATTTTACCCTAAACGGTACCGAGAAGGATGCTCTGAGGAACAGTTAAGGTAAGATGGTGTTTTCAGCTTTGTAGAGGGGTGGGGTTGCACTAGGAATTTAGCAAAAATTTCTGTATGAATCTTTTCTTAGATACATTTCATTCCAGTGTATCCCAAGAGGTTTTACATATTTTATGGTGACATAAATAAGTTTATATGGGTTGTTTTGTTTTGTTTGTTTTTGGTTTTGTTTTGTTTTGTTTTGGAGGCAGTCTCATGTAGCCCAGGCTAGCCTCAAACTTGGTATGAGCTGAGGCTCACCCAAAACACCTGATCCTCCAGCTTTTCTCTCCAAAATGTTGAAATTACAGGTGTGTACCAGTAATTGTTCAGTTTTGGAACAACTTTTTAAGTAAAAATTACCATAATTTAAACCATTGTTCCATCTAATCTCAATCCCTGATTAATTCTAATCATAAAGAAGGTGTTAGCTACACAGTGGTGATAGCTAGTCCTGGGTTCAGTCTGAGGATAACTACAGTCAGCATTCCTCTGAACTGTACCATTTGGACACCACTGGTAGTGTTTAATTCTGAAAAATGAAAATATTCTCTGGAGAAATTACCTGGCAGCCTGACTTATGCTGGTCTGGTGTTAGCTGGCTAGGAGATAAGAATTTACTTACTAGTTTGTGTTGAGCACTTCAGTGTCAGAATTTGGTGAAAGTTTTTAGGAAGGGTGAGGAGGGGATCAAGGGGCTGGGGGTGTTGTGAACAGGCCTTCGGAAGGATGACACTGCACTCATGGTTTTGTTTTGTCTCTTGTTTTTGCCCTTTTTTCTTTTCTTTTTTTTTTTTCTGTTTAGGCAGCTTTACCAGCGACTCTCGACCAGATGGATGGCCCTCCGGGGACACAGTGCGGCTGACTGCGTGCGCATTTACTTGACAGTAGCCAGGAAGTGGCCATTCTTTGGCGCCAAGTTGTTCTTTGCAAAAGTAAGAAAGAATGGGAAAAAGACTCATAATACCCTCCCCTATCCCCCCTTCCCCCACCCCCCATCCTCCCCAGTGTACACATCTGGCCACATTTACCCTGATACACCATATTTGGTTTCATTAAAAAAATGAGGAAATTCTCAGCAATTTGAGCAAGCAAGGAATGCTGGGAAGTGGAGAACGGTCTCTCTCTTCTCCCCCCTTCATCGCCCACCCCAACCCACCCCTCACTGAACCGTTTGGGGAGTTGTAGGCCAGTCCGTCAGGAGAGCTAGCTGGACTCCTGTCTCTCCACTCACCCCCGTTCACTCACTAACTGTACCACTCATTGGCCTAATTACTTAATGAGTGTTTACTGAGTCCTGTTTGGTAACCATTGAGATAAGCTCCAGGGACCCATAAAGCACAGGGTTTGCAATGCGATGTACCAGACTTCAGGGCAGTTCTCAGCATAGCCTGGTGTTGCAACAGGCCGATAAACAAGGCCCAGTGTGGGAAGTCCTCTTTGAGGAGAGCAGACTGAGTGCTGTAGAAACACTGGGCAGGGGACAGCCCTGCCTGAGAGGCAGCTGGTCAGTGCCAAGGGAAGGCCTATGCCTTTTCTTTTGGGAACATTTTGGTTTTCAGTTTTGGTGCTGGGCATTGAAGCCAGATCCTCTAGCACACCAAGGACAGGCTCTCCCCTGGAGCCATACCACTAGCCCCAAACTGTGCCTTGTACTTCTTTTTCTTAAACGACTTGGGACTCTTTGATTTCAAAGACGCATCATCCTGTCTTGCATTCTTTCTCACTAGTGTGTGTGCACTCTGGAGAGTGAGCCCATCTTCCTCCTCTGGTGGCTTCTACCAGGATTTGGAAGTAATTATCACTTAATAAATACTTGCTAAAGAGCTGGGCTACTCTGGGCACATTGGTCAAACTATCTGATCTAAGTCTTCTCAGCCTTTGATAAACAGTGTGGACTAGAGAAGTCAAGTCCCAAGAATCTTCTGTCACTGGCCCTTAAGGGTAGAAATTACTTTCGCTACTGGAACTGGAAGCCGTGCACCAAGATATCAGAAAATTATACCTGTTAGGATCATAAAATCTATACAGTATATTTGCAGGGAATTCAAGGGGCTTTCTTTTGTTACTTTTCAACATTAAGAATAGCGTGGTTGTACACTCCTTAGTCCCAGCTACTCAGGAGCCTGATGCAGGTTTAATTCAGAATAGTAATAACAGACCAGCCTGGGTGATATAGTGAGACCATGTCTAAAAACAGATGGATAATTAATTAATACACTTGAAATGTGGACCGTTTTACAATGAACTTTAACCCCAACTTCAGCATGGGAAGTGCTGCTAACACGCATGCATGCATGTACACACACACATGTACACACGAATACACACACTC